GAAAGTTCTTTTCCAAAACATTGACACAAGTTTAAGTAAGGTATTTTTTCAGGAAGGAGTCTTTGTTGCATGTGAGCCATGCATGCAAGTGCTCAGTTAGCATGCATTCATGCCAAACGACAATCAACACACATGTTCCCAGCTTTTAGCTGCACTTCCATCACACATGAGTAAAGAATAAAGGCTCGTTTTGTTATTTTACCATTCTGGTTACTTTTTCTTACAAGAGTACAGAGCAGAAGTGCAACACACATGAACGGATAGCAGGCACTGCTGGGTGGTCCGTCTTACCCCACGTTTTTTCTTGTCTGAGTTTTTGACATGTCCCTCTTTGAGAGCATCCACCAACTAGATGTCTTTAATTTGAAATTTCGTCTTTACACATATCAACAGAGGAAGGATTGAGCATTCCGAAGACTATAAATAATATGAATTACGAGAGCAGTGTAGCAAGATATGCGGCCTCAAACCTTAGCTGGTCCGTCTTACCCCACCTTCCCCTACATGTTAAGATTTTTTGGAACACTTTCAATATGATTCACTTAGTATGCTTAAGAAGTGTGAAGTGATTGACTTTCATATCATGCTCTGCTCACTGTCTCAGCGGAATAATATGTTCTTAACAGAGCACTTTCAATGTTTTTAGCATCTGGAATTCAAAAAGATGTCCTAATTTATTGATATCTTCACTTTCTTGACATATCTCAATTATCTGCTTCTGAAGGGATACATATTTTGTTCATTTTCATGTGTTTCAGGCTAATTCTTAATTTTCCAATGTTGGGGTTGTAGTTTTGCCATTGGGGTTGTACTTTTAAAAATTGGGGTTGTAGCTACACCCCCCACAGTATATAAAGTTCCGCATGTGCAAGGTAGTTCCCTGATAGGGCTATCCAACACCGTTTGCCGCTTGTCGCTACGTTGCGTGGTTCTCGAGATCTTAGGGGGGGGGCCAAAATGGCCCCCCAACGGGGCGCGTTGCTCGGCAGAGCCCAACGGCAGAGCGGGTTAACGACCAATTAACATTTTAATGGGAAACGGCGGGTTCTTTCGATTTAGCTGAAAATCGGTATACAGGGCCTCCTTGATGCGCTGATTCCGAAAATGTACCTCTTTGGGGCAGTATTTTGCACCGTTAACGAGTTAACGGCTAATTAACATTTTAACCGGAAACGGCGGGGTCTTTCGATTTAGCTGAAAATTGGTATACAGGGCCCGTTTGATGCGCTGATTCCGAAAATGTACTTCTTTGAGGTAGTATTTTGCACCGTTAACGAGTTAACGACCAATTAACATTTTAACGGGAAACGGCGGCGTCTTTCGATTTGGCTGAAAATCGGTATACAGGGCCTCCTCGATGCGCTGATTCCGAAAATGTACCTCTTTGTGGTGGTATTTTGCACCGTTAACGAGTTAACGACCAATTAACATTTTAATGGGAAACGGCGTGGTCTTTCGATTTAGCTGAAAATCGGTATACAGGGCCTCCTCGATGCGCTGATTCCGAAAATGTGCCTCTTTGGGGTGATATTTTGCACCGTTAACGAGTAAACGGCCAATCAACATTTTAACGGGAAACGACGGGGTCTTTCGATTTGGCTGAAAATCGGTGTACAGGGCCTCCTCGATGCGCTTATTCCGAAAATGTGCCTCTTTGGGGTGGTATTTTGCACCGTTAACGAATTAACGGCCAACTAACATTTTAACGGTAAACGGCGGGGTCTTTCGATTTAGCTGAAAATCGGTGTACGTTCAGTGTCTCAGGGGCAGACAAACAAGCCGCTATGTGTTCCTAGCCATCGTGGCTGTGAAGAGTATGCGTTTTGTTTACGATTCGCCAAACAATGCATAATACATTTGCTCGTTGAAAAAAAGAAGATCATCTAGTTAATTGAAGTATTCGGTGATATGAAAAGGCTGTGGCATTTATTATTTAGTTTCCTCAGGTTGAGATAATTTAGATCCAGTGTTATGTTCCTTTGCGGCATTGTGTTCGGTATGTTGTCCTCGTTTGCAAAATATCTCATGTCTGATCAGTCACTATTCCGGTTTATACTACCCGTTTCCGTAATAGACGTGTTCCAGACGACAGTGGCATTAAAGGGACCCTCCCACCTTCAAAAAAGTTAATGAATTGGCATGAAAGTGATGTCGCTCGGTTCAGAAAGAGCAAAAATGAATATCTACCAAATTTCAATGAAAAATATTCACCGGTTTTCAAGATATTAGACTTTTACTTTTGTTTACTTTTTGGGATATCCGCTGTTCCTAGCGACTTTATTTGAAAGTGCGGCATTTGTTGCGCGCAAAGCAGCATATACCACCGCGTGCTGCCAAACGTTTTAGTAAAAGATTTAAAAATCGTTAGATCTCCGCTGGCGTCACTAATTCTAAGGGGGCATACCAATGCATTAGCCCCTTAGAATCCGAAAACTGCAAGTTTGAAATTCCATATCTCCGAATTAAAGCATTTTTCGATGTTGTGAATGCCCAAACCGGTATTTTCAGGCCATGGCCACCAATTTGGCTATCTCAACTCAAAACTAATGTTAAGGTGGGAGGGTCCCTTTAATATACAAAGATGGACTCGTTTTAAGTTTTTTAGTCTAAAAATAACGTATTCCTGTTTAGGTCTTCGTTGTCAATTGTTACGAGTGGATTAAATTGTTACTCGTAGGGAAAGAGCCCTGCTCCAATACTGAGTAATGTTTGTGTCAAATGTGGAAAGAAACAAGTATTCATAGGGACTGTGATTTTGGGCGTTTACCTACCGTTTCCGAATCGCTACGACCAGTACCTAGCGGCGGAACACCCTCAATTAAGGGGGGCACTGTCGACTTTTGATCCCATTCTTTCCATGCAACGCCCATAGGGCTAATGTTAAAATGCCAAAATCAAAGGGGGCACGGTTCCCCGGTGCCCTCCCCGTTCCGCCGCCTATGGCCACGACCATGGTGGCGACTGGCGATACCCGAGTACCTACAACCAGGCACATAGCCAATGGAGGGACGACAGGGTCAGCCGTCTCTCCCTGGAGATGGACCACTTTAATTTTTTTTTTTTTTGTAACTGAAAATGTGGGCCCCTCCCGAAAAATAGTGGGCCGAATCCGGGGACTTTTCGGGTTTTGGTGGGGGTATACCCTGGGCTCCGGCAAACTACAACCCCAATGAAAAACAAAAAGTTCCACCTCTGCATTGCTCTGGTCCAAAAATAAGGCATCATCGATGGTGAGATAAAGCCGCAGAGTCTGGTGCAGGTTGCAGCGTGAAATATTTCGGGAGATGTCTGCAGATGAAGACCTAGCAATTAGCCGGCGAATTCCACAAGACAGGCTCTGAGGGGATCAACAGCGACGGCGGAGATTGGGGAGAACGAGTTTTCTGTGTTGACGGTCGGACTTGTCAGCGCGCTGCGCCGGCCGCCATTGTCACCCGGGCGACATTCCTGTTTGGTAATTGGAGCCGGGGTTCGGTGGCCACCCTACCGCCTCCTCCGCCACCCCCCCCCCCCCCCCCCGGGAAACCTGATCTCGCCGCCCCTTCTCGGCCACAATGGGACCTGTCACTCGGCTCAGAGGCGCTCGCCCGCGGCGAGCCGGGAAACGGTGCGTGTGTGGCCCGCCAGAACTCAATTCCCGTCACGTCCCAAACACTGGCGGAACCATACCGGCCTCTGGGGGATATTAGTCTCCTTCACCACCGCCAGTGTTGGCCGTGGTTCAACATGGACGACATTGGTAAACGCTGGTGAGCACGAAGCCAGTTCTCTGACCGGGCAGAGGTTCGAGACGATCGGGCAGCCTAGCCGGGTCTCCCGTCACTGCATCCCAGCTCCTTCACAGCCACTTCGGACGGGGTCCAACCAGGTATGGGTTTGCGGACGCTGAATTCAGCCCCTCCGCAGGGCTGAATCCACCCAGACCCAGGGATGGATCCATCCCAGCGAGATCTGCGATCTCCATATCTTCACAGCCGCTCCGGGCTGGATCCACCCAGGTGGTGGTTCGCGGACACTGGGTCCAGCTTCTCCTCAGGGCTGGATCTGCCCTGGCGGTCACGGCGTCTGGACTCCTCCACACTCCACAGTCACTCGGAGCTGGGTCCGCCCCGCCGGCGGCATCCCGTGCAGCGCCGCTCAGATTTGTATGCGGGGAACCGGTACCGGACTGGCCAGCCGGCCTGACGAGCGGCGGGCGGGCGGCGCCGACCGGCTGGACGGTTCCGGCCCGCCAGTCCCCGCCCTCCAACACGCCCCACCAGCGCCCGACATCAATAACGTCCGTCTGCGGCTGGTCCGGGCCGGTCGGGGCGGGCCGGCGGCGCCATTAGCGGGCCGTGTCGGCCGGTATCAGTGTCAGTGTCAGTGTCAGACGGCCCCGTGACGGACCGCACCGCCGGCCCCGATCGCGCACCTGATACAGCCGCTCACGCAGCCCTCGGACCGGGGCACGGCAGTTTGCCGGACACGGCCCGGCCCGGGCGGCATGCTCGCCGGTCCGGGCCGGCCGCCGCGCCGTAAAAGTGCGCCGGTTCAGGGAAAACGGGTCCGCCCGGGCGCGGCGGGCGCGGTTCAGCCCTCGATCAGCGGTGGCCGGTCAGCGATCGGGTCCTGGCATGGCGCCGCCACCTGTCCCTGTGTTGGAGCGGACCGGAGGTGCGGCTCACGGCTGGCTGAGCCCCACTGTCCGGCAATTGATCGCATTGTGTCGAGTCCACCGCGCACCGGACTCCGGCCACCGCGCTCGGCGGGCCGCCAGTGACTGGCCACTTTGAAATTTGAACGTAATGTTGTCGAACAGCGTTTGAATTTGCATGAGGCCTCCAACGCGCCGCTGACTGCGCGCGGCCATCGCAAGGCCATCGGCAAATGGGCCTCGGAACAGACCAGCAACGCTTGTTCATGCTTCACGAACGCTCTAGTCATCGCATAACGCAACACACTCGCATACACTCGGCGCAGGAGCGCAGCTGAACGTACGGATACCATGCGGAGGGGACTCACCTGTCATCGTTTCCCGGCGGCTTGGAGAGCTTGATGCACAGCACAAACTGAATGGCGCACACGAGCAGACAGCAGAGGTTGAGGCAGACGCTGAGCGCCGACAGCGCCACCGTCACCTCGTACAGTTTGATGTACTGCTGGGCGTCGACGGCGCGCCGGTAGCCGCTGATCAGGTGCGAAAACTCGTCCACGTCTAGCGGCGTCACCTTCAGCAGGAAGATGGACGCCAGGATGGCCAGCAGCAGCGACGACAGGCACAGCAGGCCCAGGCAGCACAGCATGCGCTTCACGCGCGCGTCGCGCGGCAGCGGCGGCACCAGCCGCTCACAGAACGAGTCTGTCCGTTTGGATGGGCCCAGCCCGGCGACTGCGGCGGCGGCGGCGGCGGCGGCCGGGGTCGGCGGCGGCAGCGTCACGTCGCCGCGACCCGTCACGTCCAGCCGGGTGGCCGCCGAGGCGTTGAGCGCGGTCAGCGCCGAGATGTCGACGCTGGGCTGCGACTGGTCACGCGACTGGTCCAGGCCCGTGGTGCGCGTGGTGGCCGTCTGCCCGGGACTCACGCTGCCACTCGTCTGAGAGTGCTTGCTCACGGTGCTGTAGGCACTGACATTGAAGCCGTGCGCGCCGCCGTTGGAGCGCAGCGTGGCGTTGTGCACGTGCGGGTAGTTGGACCTGTTGGGCAGCGTGCCGTTGAGGCGCGGCGCCGGCTGCGGGCCGCCGTTGGCGTGGCGCACGTCGCCGTTGGCCGGGCGCCGCTCCATGGTGCCGCCGCTGGTGGCGGCGATGTGTTTGAGCATGGCTGCCGGGTCAGAGGCGGAGCGGCGCACGGCGGCCGGACCGCAGCGGCGGCGAGCTGCGCGCGCCTGGTGTCGCCCCGACGGCCGGCGGCGGCCCTCTCGGCATTCCTGCAGCGCGCCTGCAACGGAGACCGAACGTGAGCGGCATCGGCGAGAGACGGAGACCGGCTGAGGAGACACAGCGCCAGGCGGAGAATGGGCTCCCGGCAGACCGCGGAACACACTGGACACGCTCGGCTAGACAGAAGGGTTAGACAGCAGCGGTTCCGCAAAAACACACCTCTCAGCCAGGGGATTCGTCCGATGAAGTGGCCTCCCCTGCTCGCCGGCTCCCCGGCCGCCGAGATACGTCCTAATCCCCGTATCCCACTCAAACCTACCCCCGCCGGTACCCACCAGAGTCAGACCTACCTCCCCCCCTCGGGAACCGTTCCTCACTGGCTGATCGTCATCGCGGCGGTAATCGGTCGCGCGGCGAGCAGCGGTTTTTGTCGCAGTGCGCGAACAAAGACCGCGAGCGGGTCTCCACCGGCCCTGGAGCCGTCAGCGGCGGCCTCCGCTCCCAGCGGGCCCCATCAACCGACAACTGCCCCCGACCAATTCAAACCCAGCCGAAATTTCTCACGACACCCATAAAAAACGGCCCCGGTCAGCCGAGTCAAGGTCGGGCCGGCGCACGGCGGTTCGGGTTCGCCACGAGCACGACCGGCCGCGGCGTACCCGAGCGTGCTCTGGACGTTCCCGCGGGGACGTACCTGCGTAGGCTCCGCCCCGGGCGGGGCTGTGCGCGTGTTCCTCCCGTCGGCGCACGCTCCACTGGCTCCCCTCGCTCTCGCAGCGCCCCGCTCCTCTCGGCGCCGGCGCCACCGGACAACTGCCGGCCGGCGCCGCCAACGGCCGCCGCTTCGCGCCAAAACAGCGCCGGCGCCGCGCCGCCAGCGACGCTGCCGTGACGTCAGGGCCCGCCGGCCGGCACCTGTCCGGGCTGCCGACTGGGCTGAGGGGGCTGTTACGAGGGGATGGGGGGGGGGGCTGTACCGGGGCTGAGGGATGATCTGGGGGCGGGGTGGGACGATCGCCAGGGCGCGGGGTGGGAGCCGATCTCAGACGACGCGTTATGGTCAGGTTTCGTCATAGATTGATGAGACGACAGCAGCAGACACTCCCACCGTACATGGGAGTTTTCCCAGTGTCATTTGTAGAGCACATTGAGGGCATCCCGTGACGCCTCGTTCAAACACCATCAAACTTCGCCCAACGACCAGCTGTGGCTAAATAACGACTCTCGAGACTGTCCTCCCCATGCCTATCTCACTATTGTGAATCCTCGATGAATCCACGGTTTTCCTGGCTTTAAACACGCACTCCATCTAAAAAATAAATAAAAAGTTAAGACAACACGGGTAAGTTACAACTCAAACCTAAAATCTAAACTAGCCCCATCCACAAACCACAGAGCACGCGGTGCGCACAGTTCCAGTCACATTCCCTGTATTCCGGAAGTCGGAACTGGTAGCCGGCCTACCGTGACCTCCCCACTCACCCGTGGCGGCCTCCGCTCAGATCCTCCCTGTTCCTCTCCCGGCGGAGTGACAACTGACAGCCCCTCCCCGCTGCACCGGTCCGGTGTCATATCCCCGCCCCGGGGAGAGGAGGGGAGGGAAGACGCGGGGCGCTGCCGCCTCCTCTCGCCGTCTCCCACATCCGGTGTGGGCGCCGTGGGAACTCGGGCGTTATAATGCACCAGACTGGAGACCGCCCAACCCGGAGTCTGGGCAGGCCTACGGCACTCCGTTGCTGCTGGCGATTGGCTGAGCTGACAGGCCCGGTGACTGTTTGACACAGGACTCGCCGGCAGATGCCACAGAAGCCTGCCGCTGCCCGTTGACCAGGCTGGAAAGAAGAATAATGAAAGTAAGACGGTATATGACGGCGGCTGCTCGGAAAGAACGTTGCATGCAGTCCCGATATCACCCTGGTGTGGGTCTAGCTCGCATAGTGCAATGCGAGGGACATCCCTGCCGCTTCACTAGTATGCACTTACGCCTAGCAACAGACTCACGACGTATCTCCGGCTGGAGGCCGGACGGCGGCACGGCGCGATCGCTCAGACAGTCCGACAGCCGGACAGACGGACTCCCCGTCCGACTCAACTCCACCGCTCCCGTCCGCCGACCGGCGCCGGGCGCAGCATCTGAATTCAGCCCGACACCTGCCGGATGCACTCAGCAGTGACGTCAGGGCGCGGCTGCAGCTCGCGACTGGTGACGTCACGCCGAGGTCTTCCCGTGACCCGTGACCTGGCCCGGGGAGTGGCCCCCACTTCACCTCCACCGGGCGTGGCGGCTCGGCAGAGCGCTGATCGACTGATGAAGACGCAGCGAGCCGCGGTGCCTTTGTGCCTGGACAAAAGGGAAATTTAACACTCGGTTATGGCGCTGCTGAAAACCACAGAAACCACTCAGAAAAGCGATCAATCTTGTTTGTGGTTGTTTTCCTGGCAGGCTGCCTCATCGGTATTCATAGAGTATCGGCTAAAGCGCTACTGGAAGGTAAGTGATGGCAGAGGGTACTGCTGAGACGCCACACTTCACAAACAGGACGACAAACAGGCCTTAGGGCTTTGTTACGACCGCACGATTTTAGGTCAGCACGGCTCAATCCACACAGAACTTTCAACACCTCTGCAGCTTTTTGTGCGTGGCCGTAAACCGTTTGGTTTCACGACGGCCAAATAAACAGCCCTTCTCTCGGTCCTGCAGTCGGGCGGTGATCCATCCGCGGCCGTCTGGTGGGCGCGGAGTCGGCGCTCCGCTGCAGACGGCCCGGCACAATGCCGAGACGGCGGAGTGGCGTGTCAGTGACCCGGCTCGGAGCCGGCTGTCGACGGCAACACGGCGTGCACCGGCTGCCACTCTGCCTCCGTGGCATCTACACGGCGTGCACCGGCCGCCGGTCTGCCTAAACTGCAGCTGCACAGCGCGACTGGCGAGCTGGCGGCACCCACCGTCCATCGTATCGGTCTGTCCGGCGACATCCAACGTCCATCGTATCGGTCTGTCCGGCGACATCCAACGTCCATCGTATCGGTCTGTCCGGCGGCACCCGGCGTCCATCATATCGGTCTGTCCGGCGGCATCCAGCGTCCACTGTACGATCTGTGGCTCACACCGTCACCGTTCAGTCTCCGTCTCCGTCAATATTGGGTATAAGATACATCTCGGAAAGCGGTACGTGCAGCGGCATTGTGTTCGGCCAGAGCTGTGGTGCGATTTTGGCAGCCGCACACAACATGCCTGATGTGAGGCCGTAGCCGCCAGGCGCCAGGGCCACATCACGCCACCCTTCGAGTGACTTCCAGTATCGGCGCAGCGCTGACGCAAGAGTTTGTCGCTGGAACAATAGACAGGGGTATATGATTTATTAGCTGCACACTGCTTTGAAAGGCATCCTTAGGCATCCTGTGATTTAGAGGGTCGAAAGTGCCACAACACGGACATCAGTGAGCGATTTATTCCTACCTGCCTATCGTATTTACCATTTGTGTTTTCCAGCATACCTACAACTCACAGGATGAAATTTAAATAGATAAATCAATGAAACAAATCAGGAAAGCTTAGCATGGTAATTAGTATGTATTTACGTCATGGGGCACATCCACATAGTTCAGTGGCTATTCCGCACCCTGCAGTCGCAAAGATAAAGAAAACGGTCATTTAGGTCAACATGCACACACGCACACGCACTAACCCACACACGCCTGCTCTGTAAAGTACACTTAGCCGACGCCGCCCCGCTGCTTCATAAGCAGGTGTTGCCTGAGTTCTTTCTTAAAGCCTCCAGTAAAGTTTCGCAACTCACGTGGCAAAGCATTATAGGCGGTAACGATCGAGTGCTTAAAACGACGCCTGCCTGACTCCGATCGACTCGCCGGCATGACTAAATGGTCGGCGTTCCGTGTGGTACGATGGTGAACATCACCACGAGTGACTAGGTCGCCGGCGATCGACTCGGGCTCCGATGTCATTAACATGCGCTTCAGTAGGATAAGACCGCGGTATAGATACAGGTGCTCTGCAGTAAGCCAGTCAAGACGGTCCAAAACGTCGCTGATGTGATCGTACCTCCTTCGACCGGATAAGACACGGGCGGCAAAGTTCAACACCTTCTGAATGCGCCTCATCTGGGTCTTGTTACACACGCCGTATACGACCAAGCAGTATAAAATGCGCGAAATGACAAGTCCCTGAATGAGCGTCAACAGGGTTGACTGAGGCAGACTGTGCCTGCTGTGGTTCAATCCGCACAGGATGCCAGTGCATTTTTGCACAACGCTGTCTACATGCGGGGTAAAAGTCATATGCTGGTCGAAAGTGACACCCAGGTTTAGGACGGCGGCGGAAGCGGCGACCTCGGCATCCATTAACTTGATGTTTACTGTGGGGAGACGTTGAATGTTTTGTCGCGAGCCAAGAATGATGAACTGGGTCTTTCGTGCGTTAATTTTGATGCCGTTTTTGCCGAACCATCGAGAAAGAAGGGCCAGGTTGTGCTCCATGTGCTGCACCAGGGAGCCGATGTCGCCGATCCCACCGCTGACTGCCACCTGGGTGTCGTCAGCGTATTGCACGACGTGAGCGCCCTCCGTGTACAAAGGTAAATCGTTGGCATAAATCGAAAATAAAAGCGGTCCGAGCGCTGAGCCCTGATACGTGCCGATCGGGTTAGGAAGCGCCTCTGAAGTCACAATCCGCCCTGAGGCGGCATCCTGAAGCTGCACCCGCTGGTAGTGACCGTCAAGATAGCTGCTAAACCAGCGGGTGTCGACGCCATATAGTTGAAGTTTGTGCAGCAGTGGGTCATGTGGAATCACATCAAAACATTTGGAACAGTCGAGAAGACATAAAAGCGTGATTTGACTGCGGTCCATAGCCGTAAACACGTGATCAGTGACGGATAAAAGCGCCGTGTCGGTCGAGTGGTTATATCTAAAACCGTGCTGAGATGACGAGAAGAGGTGATGAGCGGCGAAGTAGTAAAAGAGCTGCTCGTATACAACGCGTTCGACGATTTTCGCTATGGTGGGTAAAATAGAAATGGGCCGATAGTTCGCGACCTCGGTAGACTTGGACGATTTCTGAATTGGATGAACAAGCGCCACCTTCCATGAGTCCGGGACACGTTGCGACACAAGACTGCTGTTTACAATGCAAGTGATGACATGACAGATTGAAGGCAGACAGATCTTAATGAAGCGGATACACAGTCCATCGGCGCCACACGCGGCAGAGTTACTCATTCGGGAAAGCACACGACACAGGTCATCTGGTGAGATGGGCGCCACCTGGAACCGGCCGGTGGTCACCCGAGGTAGGCGGACCGGCAGCTCCGGTCCGGACGTGTCCACCTGACGGGCCGTGTCGGGGCCTACAGACACAAAGTACCGGTTCAGCGCGTCTACGTCTGCGCTGGGAGCAGACCGGGTCGGCCTGCTCGAACCGATGATAGGCCGCGCCACGCGCCACATACCGCTCGGTCCCACCTCCCGCAGCCGCCGGTCCAGCTCCTCACGGCTGTCGCGCCGGATCGCCGACCGAACCTGGCGGTTGAGGGTCTTGTAAGTGTCACGGTCTTGAACTCGAAGCGCTGCGCGTCGTCTCGACATTAAATCCTTAGTGTCGCTCGTTATAAATGGCGCCGTCGGATTGAAAACCTTACGCCGCTTGAGAGGCGCCACAGTGTCCAGTATGGGCCGCGTCGTCGCCAAAAAATAGTCCCACTGCACACTAGTAGCGAAAAACAGTCCAACAGAACTATGGCACTTATTCGACACGCCTGCAATGCGTTGTGACTTGTGAATAGCTGAATGGACAATGGATATTCGCCTTTTGAACCTCACACAAACCGTACATAGACATCTTCCCGTGTCACCCGTCGCTATCCCGGGCACACCGCACGCTCCCCACACACGCGGTGGCCTATTTCTCGCCCGGTGGGGTCGGACCGGGCGGGCACAAATTCCCGCTGTGTGATGAGTCGCACCGCGCCGGTCACGGCTGGTCGGCCCGATCTGAGGACGGTTCCGGGAGAGTCCGCCGCGTCACCTCATGTCCGCGTGCCAATCTCCTGACGGCAGGGACCCACCTCACACCTCGGACAACTGTTCCCCGAATACGCGGCCCTCGTGACTCAAACCGGACCCGGCCGAAATTGGCGATCAAGGTCTCATGTGGATACGAGCCAAACTTCTACTACACCAGCCACGAGCAGAGAAGCTCCGTTAACAAAACAAGGAAGCAGTAATATAACCCTCGCCGGCCGAGGGGGGGGGGCGGGTGCCGCCCCCCCCCCATAGGGTTTTTTCGCGATAGCTCCGAACACGCTGGCGATAGAGAGCTGAAACTTGCCATACCTGACCTTTGATCCAAGCCGGATCTTTTGACACCAACCGCATTTTTGCGTCAGGTCAGGTCACTGACCTATGACGTCATAAGTGAACCTCTGCACGGTCTTCAGATGTCGCAACTTCGCAACGCCCTCACTGCCAGAGGAGATGTCACAGGGAAATGAAACTTGCAGGATCTAGTATCCATTATGAGTCCCACAACTTGTATATCTCGGATTTTTCCTAAAGGTCATATGAGGTCAGGTCATTTTCGTGACCTCACCATTATAAGTCAATGGGGAAATATTCAAACTGCTATTCTGGCACCGGGAACGATCTCCAACTATCTCAAGCACACAGAATCGTGATTTGATGCACTCCTTGCAAGGTTAGATGCGTCACTTTTGCAATGTTGACCTTGCGTGACGTCATTTATGACGTCATCAAGGTCACATTAGTTTTTCGTCAATAACTCTTGATCAAATTGAGCTAGCGAGTCGGGAAAGGCACCAATGGACTCAGGAAGGCCTGCCGAATCGAATGATATGCGACATGACCTCTTTCGATCAACTTCGTGACCTGGGGGTGCTGACCTGACCTTGACCTGAGGTCAACACCCCAAGTTGACCTGACCCGGACAAAAAGTATATCATTCGACGCGCCTGAGCGAGGCGAACACGATGCTGCCAAAATCGGCGCTCTGCGGCCGTTTTTTGCGAAGTTATTCACCAAAAACTGAACCGTACCCTGGGGCACTTGACCTGACCTCAGAGGTCACCGGTTGACCTAGGACCTTAAAATCGGGTACCAATCTCTGCGTCTCGTAACGGCGCACACGCTCGTTTTTTCCGCGACGCGCTAGCTCCACCAGGGGCGAAACGGCGAGGGGGGGGTCGTACCCGCCCCCCCCCCCCCCTCGGCCGGCGCGTATGTAGAAAACCAATAGGTCCGGCGAGGGATAACACGCGATTACGCCTAATTACCGCATTTAGACTGGCATCCCACTGCCGTGCCAAGAACAAAGGACGACAAAAACAATAGAAACAAAACAAGCAAGTAACAGTTTGAGGCGTCATCACGAGGAGCACATTGTAGCTGCTCAGATAAGACCTCGTATTCTGTGCAGACGAGCGAGCGAAGAGCCGGACTTCCCACGGGTGCGGCCTTCTCACAATGAGGACAAACCGCCGCGCTGGTAGGCTCAGTGGGCCGTGACCAATGACCATGGCCGAGACTGCCGATCGATCTGAGAGTGTTTAGCGCAGCACCAGCGGCAGGTTTCGTGCGGCAGTGGTGGTACGGTTAGCTGGCAGCTGCTGCTGAGTGGACTCCCTGGTCACAGGAAGACAGTGTGCACTGGATAGCGGATAACAGCGGGGCACCCTATAGGGAGGCAGGTTAGAGAAGGGTGACAATGGGGAAATGCTGAACAGGGCAGCCTAAATAATGAGCATGGTAGCCTCCAGTCAATGCCTTCGCCGCTAACGACCATTTCCACCATGACCGGCCCTAAAATTCAACCCGTCCCACCCGCCTAACCAGCCCAGCCCTCTCCTCACCCGACACTGGCAGACGGGTGCGTCGCCGGCACAGCGGCCGCATCCTCCCGGTGCCGGCGGCTATAACCGCCTCCCGCGCCGACAACGGCCGCTCCCGTAACGGCCGACCCTCCCCTCCCTCCCCCCCATCGGCCACCCGCTGTCGGTACCGACGGCAGAGAAACGACGGCGGGCCGGAGCGCCACGTGGTCCGACCGACCCTCCCCGTCGACCGACGATCTTCCCTCAGATACCGACAGTCCGTCCCCCTCCCCGGATACTGAATGTGGAAGAGGCAACACCCAAGGCCACTGTCGGACCGACCTGCGCGGGTCTCGGAACTGACCGGCCCTACCTGCCAGCTCCCGGTGAATGGGATACGGAGGCACCTGTCCCGCGCTACCGGCCGGTCCGGACCCCGCAAGGCGACAGCCCGCCGCCATGGATTGGCCCGCAATACCACCGGTGGACGAGTCGACTCGTATCATGCCTCTCTGCAGCTCATCAATACAATGCCAGGACACAGCCAATTTCATGTGTCGCTATCTCTTTTCGATGGCGCGGCCCACCAGATTATCAGAGCGGAGTGTGGTGCTGCCGCCCGTCAGCTGGCGCCACAGTGACACCGGAGGACAGACAGAGTCATTTTGTCATCCGGCCGACAGGGGCAGATGACGGTCGGGGGCCGACACTTCCGGTGGGCCTCGGCCTCCGCCGGCGGCTCGTGGGGCACGGCGACAGTGGCGACATGACAGGAGCCTGACAAGAAGGCGCTGAAGGGTCAGGGAATGAGTAACGAACCTCTTCATGCCTTCAATCCCTCCGGCGATCCCAACATATAGATATTATTCATCCCTGGCCTGGCCCAGTCTTTACTTGTGCAGTGTTTAGTGTTCATCTTACCCATCCCAGCATTGATATTATATGCATCTTCCACTATATGAATTTCTCTCCCCGTCTCCCCAATACCCTGCCAGGTCCCATTTCCATTCCAGAGCAGTGACTGGCGGCACCATTCACATTATGTCATCAGTCATTCCCTCCAAGCTCCCCTGATTACTGCACCACTCGACACCTTACTCCATACACACCTAGAGTGACTGCAGTCGGTTTATTGAGCTCCTACAATGCCGTTATTGTTCTAGGTGCGGCGCGCACCCGGCAGGACGCGCACGCGCTGCCCGGCCGGCGGCGGCTCCCCGCTGGGATATGTGAGCGCGCGCGCGTGTCGGCCGACACCGGAGACGGGCCGGTGCGGCGGCTCGGCGGCCGTTCGGCGATATGTGGGGGCGGCTGGAGGCCGCGGGCCGCGCCGACCGGGCACGGACGGCCGGCGCCGGCGCCGACACTGGACATGGCCGGCGCCGGCCGTCGTCACACACCCGCACACAGACACACAGATTACAGGCAGACGGCGGCCGACCGACCGACACACTCACAGGCACACGGAGAGACAGACGCGCCCGGCGCGGCGGCTGGATGGCGGGCGGGCTGAGCTACCAGAGTTAACAACTGCCGGCCGGTCGCCGACAGACTGCAGACGGACCCGGCTCGCAGCGCTACGACGGAACGCGGCCGGGCGGCACCGGACCGGCCGCAAACACAACAGAACACCTACCCGGCTGGCAGCGGCGGCGGCGCGCGCCACACGCCCGTAAACTCGACATTTGACCCGAGCTGCCCGACTGGGCGGCGGCCGGCCGCGGCCGCGGGGGGTCTGTCACCGGCCGCCCCGCAGGCCCCGACAGCGGCGCATCAGAGCGGCTACACAATACCACACACGAACAGATAGCACACACACGCGCGCGAGCGCTTCGTAGTAAAACACGCCCTAGATCTCGTAAAGAATGTTCCGTTGTGCAGACGGATCGAACGGCGATACTGTGGCGGTACAGCCCAAAACTACCGTATCAAAACGCTCTCTGAATATGCCGTCTTTGGTTTGCCATGGTTCTCGGGACCGTCAGGGCAGGAATGGAGGACGCCGGGCGGCCGGCCGACTCGCACGTGTCCCAGCGGACGGCACCGCTGCCGTGCAGTAACAGACTGGACTGGTGAGCGCGCGGCGCAGACACCCCAGCCCGCCAGCCGGCTCTCGGGTAAGACACAGGGGGACGATTGCATGGCAGTGGGCCGCCACAGGCCGCCCGGCCAGCGAGCTTATTAAAGCGGTTCGGTGAGCGGCCCAACGGCGGGCGGCGCTGCTACCGTGGGCAGCAGACTGCCTACAATATACAAACCAAACGGAAGGTACGCTACACGTAACCTCGGCAAATCAGTTCGCACTCTATGCTGCATACAAACACTACAAAAAGCACAGAAACTCGTCTGGAACACACTGCCTATGCTCAGCGCCTAGACAACCAAAAGAGATACGTCAGATAATTGTGATGGTTGGTGGACGAGCCGCGGCAGCCGGGGCCGGCAGGCAGGAAGGGTGGCACAGCGCGGGCACTTAGACCGGCGCGCGGCCAGCGGAGGCCGGCGGCGCGCGCGGGGCAGTCGACACTCCTCGATATACACTCACTGTAGACAGCCCACTCGGCAGTGCGGTTCGGTAGATGGTCGGCGGCCCGGCCCGGCCCGGCGGCCGCTGCCCGCCGCGGACACCTCAGCCGCGCACGTGATTGTGAGCACACACCATGGCACCTCGGCTCCAGCTTCGTTACAAAAGGCGCCCACCCAGTCACGGACAGACGGAGAGAGGCACACGCCAGGACGTCGGCTACTCGTATATCTTGTGACGGCACGGCGGCACCTGGCCGCCAATGGAAGATACGTGCGGCGCCCGCTCACACTCGCAGGGCGGGGTCGCCATCGGACGGCGGCGGGGCGCGCGCGCCGGCCGCTAGGAGCGCCCGCGGCTAGCACACAGATGACTAGAAGCGCGCAGCGGGCTAACAGTGGCACCTGGGCACCAGAGACACGAGCGAGCGGCCGGGCAGAGAGGCGGCTAGCTAGGCAAGCGGGTATGGCCGGCGGCGGCAGTGGCTTGATTAGCGGTCAGTCGGTGATTAGCGGTGCCGGCCGGAGCCGGGCAGCAGCACCCTGTGTGACGCGGCGGGCCGCAGCCCCCTCCCTCTCTATGTACAAATTGTCTCCTATTGTGCAGCGGCGGCTCTGGCGGCTGTGGCGGCGCGCTCAGGCGAAGTACATGACCTGGTTGGTGTCCTGGTGGACGGTGACGGCGCGCGCCATCGCAGACGGCGTGCGGTCGTCGGAGTTGCCGGACAGGTGAGAGCCCTCGCCAGAGCACGACGAGTGGTACGTCGGGTCGCTGAAAACGGAGCGGGGGACGGTCAGCGGCGCTTCCCGGGCGACCGGCGCGACGGCAAGTGAATGGAGCCACCGGGTCCGGACATCGTCCCCGGAAATGAGCGCCATGTGAAGCAGGAAAACAACACACCGCTGTACCGGAAGACAGCAAAAATACACCTACCGCAAACCGTTAACACGACACATTTTAAATGTCAGGCTTGCAATCCCCTAACAGCCAGGGCCGACAGCACAGCGGAACATCACAGCACCTGTGCCGCCACTTTAAAACCGACCGGTGAGGTAACACTGTACACAGGAGGACACGGGCCTTTTCCCTACAAAGACAAATGCAGTAACTGCACGCCAGCCGGCCGCCCGGCGGGGCCAGTTTATTAGACAGGTAAACAGCTGGTTACCGGGTCAGCAGCAGCTAAAAACCGTCAGCCGACAGCTGTACGATTCCCGGCTACACGGCGGGGGCCCGGTGGAAGTGCAGGTTCCCGCGGCAGTGTTCCGGCGACGTCTAGAGCCGGCCGGCGAGCGGTGCGCCGACAGGCGAGGTTGGTCCGGACCTCAGAGAGATAGTGTGGCCCGCACTGTTCCAGCCACGCCACAGACACGGCGGGCAGGGGTATGGCGGGCGGCCCATCCCCACCCAGAGAAGGGACTGGACACTGCTAGGGCCCAACAGTCCCGCCCAGCCAACTTCCCGGAGTCTGGGCTGCGGGCCCCAGGCAGTCTTATTTCCTTAACTTCCGCTAATAATATTTGATGACTCAGGTCGCTCCCTCAAATCATCACGCCCAATAACTCTGCACTGCCTACATAATTTCAATCCCCAAAACTAAGGCGTAAACGAGACAGCGTATAAGATCTCGGACACATCAACCAATAGGAGAGGAGAGGATACCAGCGTTTAGGAATCCAGGCCGTAGAAGACTGGGCAAAGAGCAGAGATAGAGCGATACATAAAACTCGACAACTAGGTCCTTCCAATGCACAAACACTCATAAAAATTAATGAGCTCCGTGGTTCAGCTTAAGATAATTCAGAGAAATGAAGCCAGTATAGCGTTGATGTATGACAGCGGGTCGTACAGCCCGTTGTGCAACAAACATTACGGCTTTACAAACGACATGCCGGTTCATTCTAACCGTATGGTAGAGTTCTGGAACGAACGCAATATCCACCAGGCTACACGGAGGACAATGTCCCTGTGTTTTCATGTCCTTGCTCGTTCTCCTGAGCATAGATTGGAACCACTCGGCTAAGCCAGATATCTGCATCGGTATCGAATCGCAACGCCACGAGGACGATCAGGCGCCAAAACCGTGCCACGATTGATAGATACCTACTTATCGGGCCGATACTAAGCTAAGCTCAACTCGACCAAATACATAAAATTCGGGTCATTTACGTTTCAAGGAAAAATGAAAAGCGTTTCTGAAAATTATTAACAGATCAGGGTGATTAGACGAGTTGCCGTATAAATAAATGTCAGATTAAGTTTGTCACAGGACTGCGCATTTAATGCACTGTCATTTTTCGAATAACCCTACATTGGTCTTGCCCTTTCGGAAATGGAGTATGAAGTGCTAAGAGCGTGATCGAGTTCAAACACTGCTACACACATCAGCAAGTCCTGCTCGTCACACCTGCCCGCTCTGTGGGCCACCAGCCACCACAGCCAAAAATACGTCCTCCAACACAACTGTACCATACTTTACACCTAGCACATATTACGTCTGTGAAGAACTGCTATATCCCCAAAAACCTTGTTATGTAAATCATCTCCCTCACTCCCTCCTCTACCCTCACGCTGCCCCAATCGGCTGAACTCTCGACTGTCGTGCTCCTTCTCGACCAGGTGGTAGCGCGCCCCCCCCTCTCCCCCTATATACCAGTCTCTACACTGACCTGTCGTGCTCCTTCTCGACCAGGTGGTAGCGGACCCCCCCCCCCCCCTCCCATATTCCAGTCCACTGACCTGTCGTGCCCCTTCCCGACCAGGTGGTAGCGGCCCCCCCTCTATACCAGTCTCTACACTGACCTGTCGTGCTCCTTCTCGACCCGGTGGTAGCGCCCCCCCCCCCCCCCTCTATACCAGTCTCCACTGACCTGTCGTGTTCCTTCTCGACCAGGTGGTAGCGGACCCCCACTCCCACCCCTCCCTCTATACACCTATCTCTACTGACCTGTCGTGCTCCTTCCCGACCAGGTGGTAGCGGACCCCCCCCCCCCTCTATACCAGTCTCTCCACTGACCTGTCGTGCTCCTTCTCGACCAGGTGGTAGCGCGCCCCCCCCCCTATCTACCCCAGCCTCTACTGACCTGTCGTGCTCCTTCTCGACCAGGTGGTAGCGCGCCCGGAAGGCCACCAGGTGGGCGTAGTAGGCCGGCGCCGGGATGCTGACCGAGCGCGTGCAGCGCACATACGTGTGGCACAGCTGGTAGGTGAGCTGCTGCAGCTCGTCGCTGTCGAACCGGTTGTCGTCCCACAGCACGTGGTAGTGGCTCGGACGAGACGTGCCCTGAGAAGGGGAGAGTGGGGGTCAAATGCTGAGCAGTAACCGATGCAACAGTGCACGGAGAATATGAAAGGCGATTCACTGGCGCAGCCAACAAAACTCATACGAATAAAAATGTATCGTGCAATTACTGAAACTTCAATAAATTCAAAAGAACATAACTCAAGGCACAAAATATAAATTATATGACGGGAAACATACCATTAGAAAATATGAACAGAAATCTCGCCGGTTCCTATGAGAGTTTGCATTGTCGCAATCCGTCATTTCTAAAAAAAAAAAAACACATTCATCCTTCCCAATCAGCCTTTCAAAGTTCTAGCTGTTAGCTGAATACCCATACAGTATTCCTGCAAGTCAGTTACGACCGGCCACGCACCTGGATGCCCTGGTGGGAGCAGAGATAGAAGTCGAACTCTGTCGGGTGGGTGATCTGCGAGTCGACCGTGGTGCCGGCCGGGATGTTGCCGCTCTTGCCGCTCTGCTCCTTCTTGTCGGAGCAGAAGAGGCGAGTGTGGTGGCGCTTCTGCACCACGATGAACGTGATGCCCGGCATGTAGTCCACCTCGAGTTTGACGCAGGCCTCGCGGATGGCCGCCAGCTCGTGCTGCAGCACCGGCTGGAACTGGCCCTCGGACACGCCGTCCCTGTACATGATGATCCGCATCGGCTTGAAGTGGGTCGACTTGTAGAACTGGATGAGCAGCTCGCGCACCATGTAGCTCAGCTCCTGGATAATCTCCTGTGGGGACAGAACGGGACGGTCGCGTCAGTGGTAACCCAGGCAGGCGGCAGCGCTGCCACAGGTTTTAAAGCGGGAGGGGAGGGTCGTGTCATAGGTCCAGGTATACAGCACCGCCGTTGACGTAACGGAGGGTAACACACAGCAGAAAGTTTTGGCATCGAGTCACCTCCCCCCCCCCCCCCCCGCCCCCATCCAATGAAGATGACTTGCCTGTACCACTGGGCCACCTTGCGAATGGCGCGTCTGTACCACTGACTGACCTCTCCATACCACTGGACCACCCTGACTAGCCCATCTGTACTGCTGCCACTGACCTGTCTGTGCTGCTGGACGCGGACGGTGGCCGCGTACCGGGACGGGTGGCCGTCCATGGAGCCCACTGTCATTGCCCTGTCTGTACCCCGACTAACCTGTCGGTGCTGCTGGACGCGGACGGTGGCCGCGTACCGCGACGGGTGGCCGTCCATGGAGCCCACCACAGCCGCGATCGACGGCTTCTTGTTGTCGCCGGCCGGCGGGTGCGTCACGTCAGCGCCCAGGAAGATCACCGGCTCGTTAAACACCTGTGAGACGAGGGACGGTGGAGGGTCAGGGCACGTCGGGACACCTAGCGCAGAATTCACGTACACAACGCGACACCTTTACCCTACAAAATCAAGTTCACTGGCTGCTCTTGTCTAGTGAAGACTGAACAGCCTTGTATGATTACTCGTAACGAAGACATGATGACTCGTTAAGAAATGTCGCCATTAAAATGATTCTCGCAAATATCTATCAAAGATCATAAAGAGCTGTGAGGAATAAGCGAATTTGGCATTACAACGGACGTCATTCAGCAAAACAAGAATATATCTTCCCAAACAAATCCTGTAAATCTCTCCCGAGCCGAGCCAAATGTTTCCATACGTCGCTTCGATTTACAATGCCAGAGAAAGTTTCAGCCTTCAGGCGGCACCGCTGCCAGACTGCCCCGGGCCCGACCACCTACCTTAGGCCGGATGCTGGGCACCAGGATGCTGTTGACGCCGCCCAGCTTGACGTTGATCTTGAGGCAGAGGTTGGAGAGTGTCTGCGGCGACGTCTTGTTGACGTTCTTGGCCTGCACACACTGCGTGGCGATGCCGAGCACCGTGTCTCCCACCCGCTTCACCTCAGCTGTGGCAGAGGCGAGGACAGTGACCGGTCAGGGTAAGGCAGAGACGTCACGAGCCACAACCGTAAAACCCGCCACGAAAAGTCCGTGAAAACTGGGATGACACCGAATTGGAATCAATGCGCACTAGGCGGTGACCCCGCAGTCCACACTAGTGTGGGCCCCTGGTGAGTATACAGGCTAACCCCACCGACCGAGTGAGTCGCCGCGCCCCCTGCCGAGCCCAGACCGGCCCCGGCTCCGGCTCTGGTCCGGTGTGGGCCCGCGACGTACCGTAGACGGGCGTCTTGCCGGGCAGCACCACCACCACCAGCTGCAGGCCCTGGAAGTTGGTCTTGAGGTAGCTGAACATGGGCTGAACCTGGTCGGGGCCAGTGGCGTACTTGCAGAAACACGGCTGGAAACGAGAGGCGGGCCGACGTCAGGATACGATCGCAGTCGCAACTCCCAGCAGCACAGGAGCGGCCTGACTAGGCAGAACTTAAGAGAGGACGCGCTATCTTCAAACATCATTCTTTTATTGTCAATGAATGTGACTTGCCCTTAATCACCCCCTTTCAAAGCCCCAATCCCCCTATTACATGATGGGCATGTCGGGCTGTCGGTGGCCCCTTTCCCTCTTTTTTCCCCTTCCTTCTTCCCTGCCCCCTTACCCTGTCCAATGATTACAGGGCCGGCATCGGTGGGCCCTTTCCCTTCCTCTCCCCTCCGCTCCTCCCTCTCCCTCACCTGTCCGATGATGGGCATGCCGGCGTCAGTGGAGATCTTCTGCAGCTGCTGGGTGAAGTTCCGCAGCGCGTCCTCACGCACCGTGCGCTGCGGCGCGAAACAGGCGATGGCCCACACGCGGATCTCGACGCCGCTGTAGAACTGTTTGCCGCGCATGTCCCAGACGCCGGCGTTCGGCACCGCCTGCTGCTTGGTCTGTGAAGAGGAGAGACAGTCAGTGTCACTCGTTGTCAGCACACTTAGCAAGTCAGCACACTATATACCCATAGGGATGAGTACAACTAAATGGCACAATGAATAATGGGTTACGAACCAGTATAACGCCTTTTGGGGCGACTAACGGAGCGAGCGAGAGGGTGAGCCTTGCACGTGCGAAATTTCGAAGGGGTACCTCCAGCTGACTTGTGCACGGCACCCTACTAACCGGTCTCTAGCGATGTGCCAAATTTGAGCACAATCGGCCCAGCCGTTCTCGAGATCTGGAAGCGGCACCCTGCACGTGCGCACGTGCAAAATGGGTCCCAACTGACTTTTGCACTGCACCCTACTAACCGGTCCCTAACCATGTACCAAATTTGAGCGCCATCGGTCCAGCCGTTCTCGAGATCTGAAATCGACTCCTGCACGTGCGCACGTGCAGCAGCACCCCAACTCTGGCACATGGACATGCATTGCCTAGTGGGTGCCTAGCTACATGCCAACTTTCAGCGCAATCGGCCAAGTAGTTACCGAGATATTGCAACAATTACAAAAGTGACACCTCTTCGTTTTGCACGTGGCACGTGCATAAGGGGTCACCCACATGCATCGGGAATAGTCCAATACTTGGTAGAAGGAATGAAGCTACCCTACAAAAATTACCGCGTGTAAATCGGTCAAGTGGTTGCTGAGATATAAGCCTCGCAAAAGCGTGACCACGGCCGGCCGGCCGGCCGGCCGCTCATACTCAGAAATTTCCGTTAATCTAAGGAAAGACTACGCTCGCTTCGCTCGCTCCGTAATCATCCGCCCGACTGACCAGCCATCTGTCCACACGGTGTACACAGCAAAACCGACTGATCCTCTGTCCCAACTCCCGCAGCTGATGCTATGTATCTCCAACTCACCCGTCCGCCGTACTGGAGTCTCGGCGGCGTCACCCAGCGGTACCCGTCCCCTAATACCCTGCACCCGTCCCGAACTCACCCGTCCGCCGTACTGGAGTCTCGGCGGCGGCAGCACCCGGCCAATACTCCGCACCCGTCCCCTGATACCCTGTACCCGTACTAAACTCACCCGTCCGCCATACTGGAGTCTCGGCGGCGTCAACCGGCCGGTACCCGTCCCCTGTTACCCTGTACCCGTCCCTGACTCACCCGTCCGCCGTACTGAAGTCTCGGCGGCGGCAGCACCCGGCCGCGCACGTCCATCATCTTCTGCTCGATGTTGAGCCCAAACTCCTGGACGTACGGGTCCGTGTTGAAGTCGGCCCACACCTTCCTGATGAGCGTGTTGATCTCGCGCTCGCGGTCGGGCGCCGAGCGCGCCGTCGCCTTGATCATGGTCGAGGTCTGCATGTCGGTCAGCTTCTTGATGCAGCGCTGGCCGGCCACGATGGTGCACACCTGCAGGGAGACGGGTCCGGGACGACGGGCGTCAGCAACAGCTGCTGAATTTATCGAAGGACCAGGGATGACCGACAGGCACAGTCCCACGGCACAAGACACGGGTATTCAGGCCGTCAAGTAGCGAAACAGTTCAGCTAGGGAAGAAAGCTGGTCGATATCCGGTTAACAAGTTTTAATCGATGCTAAGAAGAAGACATTCACACCAAATAGGCAGAGAGTGATCGTGGTCGCTCGTGATACCTTAAGCAGCATACTCGCATGAAAGGCGACTAATGATAGCTGCCCAGATAGCTTCGTTCCTTCCGCAGCCTTACAGCCCCTGCATCTGAGCTCACCTCCAGCGGCAGGTAGGTGTGTTTGTGCTCCTGGCCGACCTGCAGACAGGGCAGGTGCGGGAAGCGCAGCTTCATCCGGTACTTGTCCAGGAAGTACTTGGCCACCGTACACTCCACCGTCTGACCGTTATCCAGCTGCAGTGGGAACCTGCCACAACCGGCGACACACGCATTAGATGGGTCCATGCGCACACCCACAACAGGCACCAGCAGTACGCCAAGCGGAGATGCGATACGGAAGTTTCAAAGAAGGACAGGTGTTTCAAACCATCTAGGATTTCGTGCTCCAACGCAATTAGGATTTGTCTCAACAGGCGGCAATGTCCTCATCGTCAAAGCGTCAAAGCTTATACTAAGCAAGGCCAAATCAAAGTCCACGTTGTTTAATAATTCAGTAAGCACTCGTCTATGTATATTCACGCATCTATGTTTACCAAAGGCTACATCTGACTAGCTTATAAGCCCAATCCTTTTACGCCTCCAAACCAGGATGCACGCCCACAACAAATTGCATAATCTAGGAAAATTACAGAACTACGCATTACCACTCCCAGATCGTGACTCCAATTATGTCTTCCCACGCAGTACCCAGCCCAGAATCCGCCCACGTCACACCCAGGGGCCGGATTCACTCACGACTGCATCTGCGCCGGCCGCCGGGTGACGTTGCACACGCGGTACTTGCGCCGCATCGAGCCGCAGTGCGTGATCTCGATCTTGAGGCCCTTGATCTCCTTGGTGAACTTGACCCGCTGGGAGTCGGTGAGCGGCTTCCGCTGTTCGCTGACTTCACGGATGTCGAGAACCTCGCACATGAACTCAATGACCGCCTGAGACTTGTAGAAGGCAGTGGCGGACACTGCGGGGGGACGGCAGGATGTCAGTCTGCGGGCGTAAGGGACACAGAGCGGCCGACCGCCATACGGACATACACGGAAAACCAGCAGATTAATGTCGGCACTAAAGGATAGTTGCATACCAGGATTCTACACGTAGGTTGTCTGATCAAAGTGAATGTAAAAATAGGACCATAATAATGCGTGACACTCCTACACAAAAGTCAACCAAACAATTGACACAAGCGAGTCAGGCATCCCCTGACAGAAAAATATCTTACCATCGATGTTGAGCATCATTTTCCACTGGCTGGGCCGGACCGACTGATGGAAGCCGAACCACACCTCGCGGCCGCCGCCCAGCGGGTGGTAGTAGCCCTCGGGCGCCGAGAAGAACGACCGGCCCACGGGCGTGTACTTCATGGACGGCAGGTGACGCATTACCACGTCCAGCGCCTGCACGGCGTCAAACGGGATGGCGCGCTGCCGTCCCTCCAGCGCCTCCTCCAACTGGTAGAGCGACACCTGCGCCGTCCACCGGATCGACACGTGGAACACGCGGTCCTTGCCCTCGCCCGGCAGCGTCACCTCCAGATCCATCTTCTCCTTACCGAAGGGCAGCGGGTCTCGCGTGTACATGTTACTCCGGCCGTCGAACACAGGCTTCATCGTGCTGAAGATCTTGGCGTAGGCCTTCACCATGGTCTCGATGATCTCCCTGTGGGAAAGTGGGAGAAACAGTGGGTCGGTGAGGGGCATTCTCACATTGGTGGTGATCAGCTGCTAAATAATATGTGTCGTCAGAGGGCAGGATACAATCGCACGAGACATCAAATACCGCATTGTATGGTTTTAAAGAGAAAGGCTTCACTGAAACAAGATTGGGTTTTCATATCGCTATAAGTGTATATATAAAATTCCACAACACACTTGAAGCGAACTGCTATCCAAAGTTCACGCTTAACGAAAACAGCACACGCCTCGCGAAAACAGGCTGTGATCCGGGGTGGCTGTTTATCGGCCACTGTTCAGCGGTGTTTATCGACTGTCACCGGGCCGAGAGGACACTGCGCCGAGCCGGTACGTACCTGTTCACCTTCCGGGGACACTTATCCGGTTGGATGCTGACGTCGTAGTGCTGCACGTAGCCGCGCGGCATCGTGATCTGGAAGTGGTTGGCGCGCAGCTGGATGCCGCGGCCCTCGCGGCCCAGGTTTGGCCGGCGAGGCGCCGCGAATACTGCCGAACACAGAATGGGTCAGGGTGACTACTACCACTAGACAGAGGCGGGTTACACAAAACACTGTCAGCACAGGACGAATACTGCCAGACTGAGGACAAATCAGCGCCGATAGTGCCAGACTGAGGACGGGTCAGGGTGAATACTGCCGGACAGCGTGAGTGAGGGAGAAAATTACTGGGCACAGAATAGGCCAGGATGATTACTGCCGGGATGAGGATGGGTCAGTGTTGTGCAGGGCATACGAAGGCGAATGGGCGAATCATATTGCCAGACAGAGGACAGGCCAAGATGAATACTTCCAACTGAGAACGGATAAGCACAGCCAATGGCCATGAAGCTGGTGGGTCGAAGTTACTGTGTAGGTGCAGTAGCAGATGAAATCAGTGAGAACAAGCCGAGGCACAAACACAACCAGATTAGCATGGCATTGTTTTCCTAATGAAAGAGCAAATACACTTTCATTGATAGCATGACCATAGCATAATGTGAGGTCATGTAGAAGTCAGTCTGTAAGCTCACGGGGCCGTCAGGTGGCCATACGGCACTGACTGTGAGGCCAGGGGGCCGCCGTTTGTGAACTCACGGCGCGGCCACTCACTGGGCATATCGGAGGCGAGCGCGGGCGCGGCGGCGGCGGCGGCAGCCACCACGGCGCCGGAGGCGGGCTGCAGCAGCGAGACGGGCGTGATGCCGGCCGGCGGCGCCACGGCCACCGGCAGGGCGGGCGGCGGCGCGGCGCCCGGCGGTCCCGCTGCCGGACACACAGGGGGGCACACCGTCAGACGGGACGGGACACCGGTCACCGAGTGTCGGACGGGACGGGATGGACGGTCACCGAGTGTCAGACGGGACGGCACGGCGGTCACCGAGTGTCGGACGGGACGGCACAGCGGTCACTGGACGTCAGACGAGACTATACAACAGTTAGTGGATATCAGGCAGGACCACGTAGCAGCGAATTAGTGTCAATGAGATAACATATCAGTTCCTGGGGGATTAGGCTTGCAGCTCAAAACCACTCCTTCAGATTCTGTTTGGTTATGACTTGTGATGCAATCAAAAGTAAAAAGGAGAATCCATATCATGATTATATTTAGGCATATGTTGTTTGGGACATAATCTATCATTCATTTGTTTTTTGTTTGATATGTAAGGAATTTTTACAAATTCACATTGTGATACAAATACAAATCTTGGTACCTAGAGTTGATGCCCCAATGTGTAAATAAAACATAAAGGAAGAGGAACACATCAAGAGCACCATTTTAAGTTTTAACCAAGGAAATCAATGACTCAGGCTGCTCGTTCTTTTGATGCCACATCCAAATATCCTACAACTTGCCAAGAAAGGTGGTGCATACTGCAAACAACTTATAAGATCAAGCGTTTCTGCATGTTGAATGTGCATCTCTTCTACATTCATCAAAATGTGTAAAAGTGTACTGGGTTAATTTATGTACCTACACCATTTTACATTTATTTACATCATTTTTTCAGCAGTTCGGACAACTGCTGAATTCAACTGACCATAACATGCAAAAGGACATGTTTTCAAAATCATAGAGCCTATTAGTGAAAATGTTAGATGATGTCATGCTAAGCCACCCCATTAGCTTAACCTTCCATATCATTCAAGCTGTGTTTTTAGATAATCAATAAATTTTTCATGGGGTTTCAATTAAAAAGATTAGTTTTTTAACCATCTCTCCCTCCTAGCAGCCAGGAAAGTGGCATGTGTGCCAATTTCAGGCATGTTTTGATGTGTGCCTGATGCTGTTCACTGTCCAGTGCAGCAAAAATGGCCTCTAACCTGCTTTCAATCATTTTTTCTTGGTAGCTAATACCACCTGTTTCTGGAAAATGGTTAAACACTGCAAAGAATTACCTTGAAAGCAGTTGTGAGAGGAAAGGTGGAAGTTTTTGCTGAGCTGGGAGTGCCCGAGCTCTCTCAATTCCACAGCCGCTTGGCTTTGAAGCCCACAACAGATGGCAGAGGTCAAGGTCACCTCACCACTAGGGCTGCAGCGAATTTGTTATGCCTGGGCACCTTGACCCTCAGCTCAGCACCAAGTTCCACCCATGGTTGACAGACATCCTTTTTGGTGTTGACACTGTTTTATTGGTAAGTATTTTATGAAGTTCTGTCAGCATCTCAGCTTATCTTAACTTTAACCTGTTTCAAAGGAATCTAAAAGGTGGTCCTTTGAGATTAATTAAACTAAAACTCTTCAATGATATTACATGCCTTTTATAACTTTAAAGTGAGATTTCATTTTTTATTAAATTTAGCTCAAATGTTTGAATGGACGGATTGACGCCCGGAGCCCACGCTAAGTAGAGCTTGTTGCGTAGACCCCGACCCCTACCATCTGATCGCGCAATTCCTGGTAACGGGAGAATTTAGATGCCAAAGTTTAACGTGCCCTTCAAAGCCGGACACAGCCTGTCCCACTCAACTGACTTCAATTGGCTGCAGCTGCTCCCACCAACCGCAGACCATCCCCGTCAGGAGACTCAAATATTGAGCGCCTGAGTGACTCGAACCTGGGCTCTCACTACCGGGAGTCCAGGGCTGTACCAACTGAGCTGCAGCCTACAGGACAGGCAAATTTATACCTGCAAGCTCTAAAACATGTCTCAATTCAATAAAAATTTCATTTACAGGGTAGTCTACAGTGAAAAGTTAGCATCTATACAAAATATGATAAGAGTAGCAACAAATGAGGAAATAATGTCATGACCTACTTTCTAACAACCTGACAACGCTAAATAACAAATAATAAGCACAATTTGTAATATGATATAAATGATAAAAACATGACAAATATATCTGGGAATATGCTTAGAAGCGACTGTTAGCTTGTATAATAATGTTAAATTGATTGTAATTCATGATTCAAGAACAATGAAAAACGAAGATCAAGATACAAGACAAAGAACAAAGGTCGAAGTACAACTTACGCTGTCCTACTGGGTACATGATTTTCTTCCAGTCAATGGAACATTCAGCACCAATATAAAGCGTCAATCAAGCTAGTATTCGGACCGTACAAGAAAAAATAAATAAATGTACAGCAGTCCACCCCTCCGCGCCCCACACACGCTCCTCGCGTGCCACCACACAGGCGGATTTCATTCAAGGTAACGAGAATGAGTAAACATGAATGCATTACAGATAGAATAATATTATGACATCACTAGAACTAAGAACTTCGTTGAAAAATAACCCACCCAAAGTCATTCGAAGAATTCAGTTATAAGTAATATAAAAGTAACAAAATTTAGATGCTTCCTTGCAATTTAGATAAGAATAGCTATATAAATTCACCCGATAAAAACAATAAACATTGAAAACAGCGGAGAAACAGCGGAGAAATTGTACTTTTGACGTCATTTGGTTGAATCACAAGCAAAGCTAGGACCACTTGGTAGACCGCGCCATAATCGGCGAATGTATTGTGCGTTCGCCGAAAATGTCTCCGCGCGCCTTCGTTTTGAGGGCTTGAGACGTGGGTCGAGGCAAGGGTCGAGGGTTCGAATCTCAGCATCCCCGGATTTATTCCAGATACCTGCCGTAGTTCTGAGGCCAGTTTCACCAATAAAAAACAGACGGCTGCGATTATTTTTTGACAAAACGATAGCCTCAAAATGTCATTTGCTGCTGAAAATACTAATCGCTGACTTGAAAATGTAATAACTTAGCTCTCAAGACAGTCAAGTGCTATATTATTTGGTCAGCAATTACTTTTCCACCTGTAAATAGGATTTATAGACTATCGTTTTGTCAAAAAATAATCGCAGCCGTCTGTTTTTTATTGGTGAAACTGGCCTCTGTACCAGTGACGTACCCAAGGGGGGGGGGGGGGCCACGGGGGCCAAGGCCCCCCCTGAGCGCCGAAGGCACTCAGGGGGCCCCTCAGGCCCCAGGATATTTTTTAAACACTGGATAAAACGTCTTTTACTCGGAAGAAAAATTGATATTAAAGTTTCATTTATGTGCCCTGCGTACCCGAGGGGCCCCTGCAGTCATCCAAGGGCCCCCAGTTTCCTGGGCCCCTGGTCGCCTAGGGGGCCTCTGGTAGCCGGGGGCCTGGTCTCATGGGGGTCCCTGATAGCCTGTGGCCCCTAGTCGCCTAGGGGGCCCTGGTCGCATAGGGGGCCTCTGGTCGTCGACTGGGGGCATCTAGTTGCCTAGGGGGCCCTGATAGCCGGGGGCCTGGTCGTAAGGGCCCCTGATAGTCTGTGGCCCCTAGTCGCCTAGGGGGCCCTAGTCGCATGGGGGGCCTCTGGTTGCATGATATTGAGGCCCCTGATCGCCTGGGGGTACCTAGTCGCCCAGGGGGCCCCTGGCAGCCGGGGGCCTGGTCGCATGGGGCCCCTGGTTGCCTGGGGCCCCCGGTCGCCCCTAGTCGCCTGGGGGACCCTGGTCGCCTTGGGCCCCTGGTAGCCTGGGATCCCCTGGTCGCCTGGGGGCCCCTGATCGCCTGAGGGCCGCTGGTCACCTAGAGGGCCCCTGGTCGCCTGGGGGGCCCTGGTAGCCGGGGGCCTGGTCGCATGGGGCCCCCTGGTCGCATGGGGGCCCCCTGATTGCCTGGGGCCCCCTGATCGCTTTGGGGACCTGATCGCATTGGCCCTTGGTCGCCTGGAGGGCCCTGGTCGCCTGGGGCAGTGGGGCCCCTAGTCATCTGGAGGACCTGGTCGCCTGGGAACCCCTGGTCGACTGGGGGCCCCTGGTCGTCTGAAAGTACGCTTATCACCTGATTGATCCCAAATCATCTAAGTGGCTACTGGCTACTGGATATAAGTAGTGACTGGAGTAGGCACTCATCTGAAGGAGCCAATATCTTTCACAGTGCCGGAGATATCACAGAAAAACAAAAAGGCTAAACTGAATACCCCCAACCTTGGCCCCAAAGGCGTCATTGGCTAACACAGGGATGTGGGTCGATTTGCAATCGCATTTCCTCCTAAGTCCTATTCCTCCAATTAACCCTCGCCGGACCTATTGGTTTTCTGTATACGCGCCGGCCGAGGGGGGGGGGCGGGTACGACCCCCCCTCGCCGTTTCGCCCCTGGTGGAGCTAGCGCGTCGCGGAAAAAACGAGCGTGTGCGCCGTTACGAGACGCAGAGATTGGTACCCGATTTTAAGGTCCTAGGTCAACCGGTGACCTCTGAGGTCAGGTCAAGTGCCCCAGGGTACGGTTCAGTTTTTGGTGAATAACTTCGCAAAAAACGGCCGCAGAGCCGCGATTTTGGCAGCATCGTGTTCGCCTCGCTCAGGCGCGTCGAATGATATACTTTTTGTCCGGGTCAGGTCAACTTTGGGTGTTGACCTCAGGTCAAGGTCAGGTCAGCACCCCCAGGTCACGAAGTTGGTCGAAAGAGGTCATATCGCATATCATTCGATTTGGCAGGTCTTCCTGAGTCCATTGGTGGCTTTCTCGACTCGCTAGCTCAATTTGATCAAGAGTTATTGACGAAAAACTAATATGACCTTGATGACGTCATAAATGACGTCACGCAAGGTTAACATTGCAAAAGTGACGCATCTAACCTTGCAAGGAGTGCATCAAATCACGATTCTGTGTGCTTGAGATAGTTGGAGATCGTTCCCGGCGCCAGAATAGCAGTTTTCATTTTTCCCCATTGACTTATAATGGTGAGGTCACGAAAATGACCTGACCTCATATGACCTTTAGGAAAAATCCGAGATATACAAGTTGTGAGACTCATAATGGATACTAGATCCTGCAAGTTTCATTTCCCTGTGACATCTCCTCTGGCAGTGAGGGCGTTGCGAAGTTGCGACATCTGAAGACCGTGCAGAGGTTCACTTATGACGTCATAGGTCAGTGACCTGACCTGACCCAAAAATGCGGTTGGTGTCAAAAGATGCGGCTTGGATCAAAGGTCAGGTATGCCAAGTTTCAGCTCTCTATCGCCAGCGTGTTCGGAGCTATCGCGAAAAAACCCTATGGGGGGGGGGGGGCGGCACCCGCCCCCCCCCCTCGGCCGGCGAGGGTTAATACAGTGTCCCAGAATTACCCAAGCATTTATTTTCTGGCTAAAAGTACAATTGCGCTCGTTTCCTAGTGAAACATATAATAACCGCGTTTACATAGGGCTACTAGGGTAACTGTGGGGAAAACGCACCCCTGGGTTAAACGCCTCCCCTAAAAAAATCGTATTTCTTATCGACGGATAGGTGTTTTATCCTGTCTTTCAGAACAGTCAGCTGCTTGTTTACGTAGGTCTCTATTTCCGGTTCTGAGTCTTGAGGAGCAGCGTGGGTAGGTGCTGATGTTGGTTTTGGATGTTGTTTTTGTTGTTTTTGCAGAAGATTCCTAATATTTTGATGCCCTCTCTATATCACAAACCTTGCTATTGTGCACATCACTCAAAACTGCGTTTTATTGTCATTCTGTTGAATATATTATGCTGCGGCGTTAGTGGCGCGTTTTTTGTCAATATTTTGTTGACCGGAAATGGAGTGGATGGGGCAAGACGCCTACTCGATGCATGGGGCAAGACGCCCCCAGTTTTCTGAAAGGGGGGCGTTTTGCACGGTGGTGAGAGTGCAGGGTAGCGCCCTGTAGGTCGGGGCCGAAAAGGCCTCTCCCTGTCCTTTTTTGCTGATATATCCTAAACGACTGCAGATATCGTCACCAAACTTTCAGGACTCCTCCGGGCATTCATTTTACACATTGCAACAAAATTTTATTCCAAAGGCTATGATAGGTTGACCACAAATGACGTCAGAACGACGTCAAGTTCTGCCATGTTCATCATTTTCTGTTGATAGATGGGGTGGGGGCGCTTTGCACATGGGTGTGGGCGTATTACCCAGGGTATGGGGCAAAACGCCCTTTTGCAAGGGTATGCGAAAACCTTTTTGGGGGGTTAAATACCACACGCAGGTGTCTTTTCTTGGTCTCAAAACGTAGTAAAAAGAATGAGCTACATGATGGTGCCCAAAGGTTTAAGTAATCTGTGTTGGGTTGAGTGTCAGAAGGGTTCGCGCTTAAGGGGGGCGTTTTTGACCTATTCACCCTATGCATTTCAGACCCCATGAGACCCTACTTTTCGGCGATAATTTCTTCAATTTTTGTCCAATTAGCTTGAAATTTTGGCAAACGATATTTCAGCTCAAGCGCCAATTTTTGTCAATATGGTCTCTTAACAAAATATCAAAATTTAGAGCACTTGTCGTTGGCTCGTAATGTTAATCAGTTTTTGCACCCGGATAGAGGCTCGCTCGCTACCGCACCGGATTGGATAGGAGCGCTGGCCAATCACGTTGCGCCGGGCCCAACTAAACTCCGCCCACTGGCCGTGACCGGGATGGGTCTATGCCGCTTCAGTCGGTGTCAGCACCGCGGAGAGGTCGGAGCGGGACCACATACTGGAGACAAGTGGAAGCTGGCAAAGTTGTTTCGGGACGAAAGCCAAAAAAAATTATCTGTTTGAGGGCATTTGGTATCCTCTTCACCTTATTTTGGTATTTAAACATCGAACCAGCTCAGAATATTCAGAATGATCAAAATCAAGGTAGGATCTATTGGAACGGAACAGGCCCTATGAAGGGAAGAGGGATAGACTCTTGGACTCTGAACATTTATTTAAGCCGGAGTTGCACCTATCTCATCGTCAGGTTGGGTCAGGTCACTACCCGATTACCTATAAGATCATGTGTAAGCCTGTGCTTAACCCAAAAATATTGATATATTTGGCAGTGCCAACAAATGTTTCTTAGGAAGGCGCATAAAGCAACAAAGTAGGCTGAAGAGTTCGGGCACGGCCGAAGCCGATTGCCTGGGGCATCGCTCCAGCGAAACGACCGTATTCGTGATTCGTGAAGCGGTGCGGGGCGCCGGGTGGGGCAGAAGTGTAATGTGTCGTATGGTAGAAATGGCCTTTATCGCGGTATCATGTGTGTGTTATATTGTTAAGACGTGCACAAAAAGAAATAGCAATGTGGCAGGCGGACATTGGGCACTACACGAGAACGATCATCAATAAACTCGTATCTTTTTTGTAAAACTTAAGTAACAGTAGGTATGTCCTCAATGGTGAGGAAACTATCTCTAGGCTTTTACTTTTCATGTTTGCATTTCAACACACAAGCTCTGGGGGCAAAGTTAGTCTGGCGACCTCCTCAACCTAAGTCGATGATCAAATGGATTAGTCCTGATTCTGAAGGTGTTCAATGCTTAGTTACACCGGGATGATATAAATCGATCACGCCGGCATACATTCGTAATCAAATTTCATATATCAAACACATAAATTGCATCATGTTAATGGTGATTCTGTTTTGCAATTTTGACGTAGTCTGACGCGATAGGTACATAATCTTACGCAATCATTTGAAATCAACAGCGTCTTTTATGCGCGTTTTTCACAAGCCCCGAATCTTGTGTGGAAATATAATTTTTTTGTGACTGAACAAGGTGTACGTACATTTGTGATAGATACAATTAGTCGAGGGCTTCAGCTGGTGCGTTACTTATGCGCGCTATTTAGCTCATTCGATGAAATTACGGCTGCAACGCCAACTGCACGGCAGCTACGGTCCATGCGAGCCGCCCCGGTGCGACAGCTACTGCCCCGCCCGCTCCACGCAGTCGACTGACCGGCCAAGGTCACTACCCCGTCCGCCGGGAGGGCGGAGCTTAATGGTCACGTGTTTGTGACGTCACACCTACGCACGGATAGCCTCTACTCCACTGACGGATTTACGGAGCCGATTTTAACATTACGAGGCAACGACAAGTACCCTAAAATTTGATATTTTGTTAAGAGACCATATTGGCGAAAATTGGCGCTTGAGCTGAAATGTGCATTGTGAAAATTTGAAGCAAATTGAACAAATATTGAACAAATTATCGCCAAAAATTAGGGTCTCATGGGGTCTGAAATGCATAGTAGTTGCCAGATAGTGGAATTCCGATAACGAGACATTTATTCCCCACTGTTATATTATATACCTACATATCCGGAATTGGAGGATGTTCCTGCGGTCCTCAATTAACCTGCGGCTAATTGAGGCGCTCGCTCATAAAATGCCGTGCGTTTCATGCACACTCCTCAAGCAAAAATATTTTTACTTTCCAATTTTCCACATTTTCTCCAGGCTTAGACCGTTACAGAGATCGTTTTAATTGACTTTGATGAAGTTGAACGCGAGAAATCACAACCAAATGCTACATTAGGTTGTAAAGAACTGAATTGCGTTTTCCCACACACGTGGCGTTTTCTCACCTAAGTCTGCAGGAGAGACCGGACCCACTATGTATGCCCCCCCCCCCCCCCACCATCGAAAGGTTCTTCATGACTCCCGGGGGCCCCCGGGGAACCTGGGGGGCCCTATACACTGTGGGGGGCCCCTTCGAAAGCAGGTGGCCCCCTCCTGGGCGAAATCCTGGGTACGTGCCTGCTCTGTACCTATAATCTATATACACTCAATATACCCTGCCTATATACGGTGCCGTGCCTGATGTAACTCGTGAATAGTGCATCATTGAAAACCTTATGGAGGGCACAGTTCCAAGAACATGAACGTATTCCTTCAGACAAGGCTGCTCTTATCGTTCTTTCCTTTGGCAGTCCAAGTGCACGACAAGAAAAAAGTTCCCTACCGGCTACCAACAATTGTTTTTGTTGTCCCTTTTTCACCCTCTCCCAATGTAACTTGCCTACAACATTATCTCGTGACTCGCTGTTGTCGATGTTTAGACCGCATAACCGTTACGCCCTGACGTCCAACCGTAATATTATCTCGAAAATCCGCCAGTCCCCGGCTGGATTGGGCTTTTAACTGGGTAACGACTTCATTTGAGCTCATTTCCACGAGTACCAGGAGACGTAGGAAGTCGTGTCTCGATTATGTCATTGTCAGATACGCAGGTGGATTTTTATCTTTCTACTCCCGTGCTGCCTTTTAACGAGGGTTATGCCTATCGGAGGTGCATGCTAACAGCTCGGGTGATCCCGCAGTGACCGACGTTTGGTGACCGGTGACCGCCATCTGGTGACGGTGAACCGCCATCTGGTGACCGTGGACCGTCGTCTCCGGGTGACCACTGACCAGTGACCACCGTCTCTGGGTAACCGCTGACCGCCGTCTGGTGACCGTGGACCGTCGTCTGGTGACCGTGAACCGCCGTCTGGTGACCGGTGACCGCCGTCTCCGAGTGACAAGTGACCATGGACTGGTGATTGCAGACTCCTGGCGAATAGTGACCAGTGACCGTCGTCTCCGGGTTACCAGTGACCGCCATCTGGTGACAGCGGACCACCGTTTGGTGACCGCTGACCGCCGTTTGGTGACCGCTGACCGCCGGCTGGTGACCGTGGACCGGTGACCGCGGACCGCCATCTCTGTCTCTGAGTGACCTTGCAGTGCGGACGGCTGTCGCCGGGCCCAGATTGGCACCGGTCGGGCAGCGAATGTCGGGGTCGACGCGCCCCAGTCCGCCCCGTCTGTGTTATGTCTGCCGGCGCCGCGGCGGCGCACCGGCGCGTCTGCTGAGCGGCCGGCTCGGGTGCCGCCGCGCTCGGCTTCCGCCGCCGGCTCCGACGGGAGGTGCGTGCCGTCTCCGGTTTCTTCCGTCGGCGGCGGCGTTCCTGAATCATGCGCTATAAGCGTCCCAGTCGGCGCGTGCGCGCTAGGGCCGGCCGCGCCGTCGGCGGCGCCGGAGGAGGCTGCGACGGACGGTCGCTGCCGACGGTGTCGCCTCTGTGCTGTCCGATTGGCCATCATGAGCGACGCAGGAGCGGTGCGCGCGGGATCGCCGGACCAGAACATGCAGGTGAGGCTGAGTACCTGAGGATGGCCGGACGGGCTCCCTGTCCTGTGCAGGGAGGCGGTGAGCGCACTGGGGGAGAGCGCCGCGGGAGCGAGCGTCCGACGCCGCGGTTCGGGCGGTGCTCACGTGTGCGAGGAGCTCGTGCGCTCTGTGCCTTGAGCTCGCCCATAGCGCCTGCAGTCTGCCGCTGCCGGTGCCCCTGGTCCGGTAGACCACAGGCCTCCCTCCATGTCACACCTCCCCAGGGGCGCGTCGCGCCGACCTCTGGGTGTCGGTCGGCCGTGGCGCAGGCGGCTGTCTGTTTGGCCGGTGAGCGCCCGGGTCTATTTGGGCCGCCGGTTCCCCGAACGGGCGCCGGGAGCGGCCGCGACGAGGACGTTGACCCGCGATGTTTTGACTGCATCCCCGGCAAACATTTGCAGCCGCGCGTTCCGATGGACGACGGATGGCTTCGGTCTGTCAAAATACTGAGCCGGGTAGTGCGGTGGCACTCCCGTCCCGTGTTCAGCGCATGTGGGCCCTTCACCAGGTGCCTTGCAAAAGCCTTTGTCCCTGGTGCTGACCGGAGCTAACTTTCTTTGTCTATGAGTTGTGACCTTGTGTTACCTTGCTGCCCTTGAACCCTTCAGGTCAGGACTAGGGCGACCAGGGCAGTTTCATGTCCTATGTTGTTGTTTTTTTGCTGAAGTTATTAAACAGAGGACCTCGACTTTTCGGTCTTTGACATGGCCTCAGAGTCCACCACAGGTTGACCTGAAACCCCAGAGTTTTGTATCAATCGTTCTGTCCTGCATGTCTGCAGTTGCAACGACGCACAGGCTCTTTTCTGTAACGAAGCTTAAGCTCAAGCTATATAAACCCTCGAGCTCAACAAGGGACGAAACGGTGATAGATGGTACACCGCAACGGCGATAGAGAAGCCTCTGGATTATGGCAGAATTGAAATTTATGCGAATTTGCATATGAATACTTATGCCAGTACATTTACCCAGCACGAACATAACTCGGTACGTGCTGAGGTTAGTCGAGACTATTTAAAGCCAACATTCAGTAAGCGAATTTAACCCGCGCCCCAGTGGGGTCTGCGTATAACACGCCCTACTGGGGGGGGGGGGGGGGCTATTCATAGCCCTCCCTCCTAACTCCGAAATTACTGGGCCGATCGTCAAAATTCAAACGGCGTCTGATAGCCCCGGAAAAACTGTCGAGCGAAACCTAATTTCATTGACCTCGAGGTCACCGATGACGTCACAGGTCAGGTTAAAGTAAAAATTATTAGCATTTTGGCTTCTTCACGTTTTGGGCTCTGGCCGCCGTCTTACAAGTCAGATCAGGCTCATTTTTGGTTCGCACACTCGTGAACAGATGCTCTAGATACTCTGAGGGTACCAAACTTGTACTTTGATTTTCAGGTCAAGGTCAGGTCATCACAGGTCACGAAAATATTATATCATCCGTCGGTCACGTGACACATGTTTTATGGTCCATTTAGGCCAAAAATTTCGAATTTGATGTCGTCTGTGTCATTCGAGGTCATTTTGAGTCAAATTTAGCTTAGGTCAGGTCACTTTCAGGTCAAAAAGTTCAAATTTTGAAGTTAAAATTGTTCAACAAAGGTGTCTATTGGATGCAGTTTGAGCTCAGGAACACGATGGTGCTATTTAGTTTGGCGTACGATGTCAAATTCGTGCTGAAAACAGAAAAATTGATTTGAAAAATTAATAATTGTTAATTTTTTGCAATAATGCGTATAACTTGGCCATTTTTGAAGATATTTAGCTAAAACTTGCTAGAGTTAGTCATAATATTGTGTTCTATCACATATATTCCGGTTTTTTTCGAAAAGTCAAAATTTTTTTGAAAATGTAAAATTATAAATTTAGAATTTTATTATATAAAATTTTCGAAATTTTCAAAATTTCGAAAATCCGAGATAGCAGTTTGATAGCGCAGTCTATTCTGAGTCCTCTCATGCAAAGGAATTGGATCTAGCTTAAAAACTGAGCTCTTGGGAGCGATTGCCGTGGTTCAATGTTTTGCGTCGAAATCGGCCGAACATGACGTCACTCTGACGTCATTTCCGGCCGACCTATGGTAGGTACTAAGTTCAAAGTTTGACACAAGGTGTCAAATTGATGCAGCCGAAGGTACTGAAAGTTTGGCGTCGATACGTCAAGCGGTTTGGAAGTTATTGCAGAAAAACGGGAGGGAGGGGGCTATAAATAGCCCCCCCAGTGCAGTGGGGCGCGGGTTAACCTTCCAGGCGGTGGGGGGCATTTTTTGCCCCCCCCCCCCTTTAGTTTTTTCAATATATCTCGAGAACCGCTGCGCCGATCGTCACCAAACTTTCAGTACCCTCCCGGGAGCAGCTAGCGCACATGGTGACCAAAAATTTTTCCAAAGGCTATGATAGGTTGGCCGCTAATGACGTCAGAGTGACGTCATTTTTGCCATTTTCGACCCAAAAAAAGGTTTCGCGGGAAGAGCTGTCAGGCCTACAGCTTTAGAGATACAGAAAAATAATTTAGACATAAAAGGTGTGGAATCAAGAGGGCTACAAAACTGCTGTTTCTGTTTTTCGAATTTTTTGGATTTTGACCCCCAAAAATCAAAAAATAGATTTTTTGAAAATAATAGCCAAAAAATCCAAAAAGTTTTTTGAATTTCGAAAAAACCGGAATATATGTGATAGTCCCTACCGCCTTCTTCTACATACCAAATTTGAGATCGATACCTCTTTTTTGGCCAAGTTAGAGCGAAAAAAGTGTTCAAAATTGATGACGTCAAATTTTCAAACTCAATTTTTAGCAATTCTAGACCTCGTAGCGCAAAACAAAGACCACCATTAGACTCCCCGTGACGAGCTGCATCGAATCGATACCCATTTTATGCAAAAATATCAACTTTGAAATTTGACCTTTTTTGACCTGACCTTGACCTGACCTCCACCAGAAAGTGACCTTAACCGTACCTGATGGTCTTATAACCAACACCATTGAGTTGGAAATTGGCCATAAAACATGCATCGCATAACCTTAGTAAAGTTGGGCTCATGTGGTGACCCTTGGTGACCTTTGGTGACCTGACCTGTGACCTGACCTGGTATGACCAGTGACCTCTAATAGCAACATATGTACTAGACAACTGACGCCTTATCGCTGATTTTCGACAAAAAGCGTTTTACTCGGTGTTATAGCGCTTTCCCTAGAAGCCCCGTGAACGGTGAAACATTTTATCTTTGACCTGACCTGTGACGTCATCGGTGACCCCGAGGTCAATGAAATTTGGTTTCCTTGGACAAATTTGACAGGGCTATCGAACGCCGTTTGAATTTTCCGGATCCGTCCAGTAGTTTCGGAGATACGGGGGGGGGCAAAAAAGTGCCCCCCCCCCCACCGCGCGGAAGGTGGCTGGTAGGCCCACCGCCTGCCGGGTTAAAGTGCATAATTCGAGGCGGCTTGACACAAACATAATGTCATGGAAGTTTTCGCTTGATCACTCCGACGAAGTATTATATGCATTACATTACCATGTATTTGAAACCACAATTCGGCATGTGAGGTAATGTCCGGACCTTTGAGGTTACTCGTTAATAACTTAGACGTTGACATTGGGTTCCAGTTGCTATATCTACGATGTTACGGGCTGATTATCAAAGACTGTTTGCCTTGTTACGATGGAACTGTCAGATTTCTGTCGTTCCATGAGACCCGGTCTGGCTTGGACTCGGGTCCAGTCTAGCTCCACTGACTGCTAACACGGGTTCGTAGGGCTGGTGTCTGGCACATGTCCGGCTCAGGACGATAAGTGTGGAAGCGAGCGCCGGTTTATATATAGACATTTGCAGCGAGGTGAGAGGCGCGGCGCTGTAACTGAAGCTGTCGGCGGGTCACCCGACCCGGCCGCGGGCTGTCCTCGCGGGCCGTGACGGCCGCGTCTGTGGGTCGCCTGTGTGCCGCCGGGCCGGGAGGTGCCCTGCCAGCCGTCTCGGGAGCTGCCGGGCCGGGCTGGCTCCCATCTGTCGGCCGATGAGTCGCCGGCCGGCTCGTCGGTGTCGGGTTCTCCGTACGGACGGCGTGTGACGGCACCGCCGAGAGACGCGAAACTGTAGCCGGCGGACGGCGGGCGTGGATCAGCGGGGCCCGGCCGCCGCGCCGCCGCCGGACTGCAGTGTCTGCCGAGCCTCCCGTGGGAGAGGGCCGCGCGGGGCGGCGCCGTGCGCGCCCGAGAGCCGGGACACGGGGAGGTGCCGTCCGTGCGTCCGAGGCTGTCCAGAGACTGGAGGGAGACACTGACCGGCGGCCGAGAAGGTAAGGTGGCGAGACTGTGTGGATATGGTGTGAGGACTATACCGAGGTTCGGTCGTTTCGGACAATAGGGGTATTGGCGGTATTGGTGGTTCCCTTTTACGCATGCTTAGAGCTTCAACGAGACGCGCTTCGCCAGGTTGTTATTGACGAAGGAGCTGTCGCGGATTAGGGATGTCGATATCGCCCACTGTTTTCAGCGGGCGACCTTCCCGGTCACAAAAGAACCGGTATTTGTTCGCCTCCTGTGACCTCGTCATGTCGTGTGCCATCTGGCGAGGATTTCTCTAAAACTATATCTGCCGTGTGGAACTGCATTGACGTGACGCTTCTTGGAGCACGTCTGGATGATGTTTTCATTGTACCTATCATTTTCATCCGTGTTTGTGTTTCCATTCGCCTTCTCGGACTTCCAGCCACGTACGCTTCTTATTCTCTCCTCATGTGATTGTGTTTCTTGTCAGTCGCAGTTACATCGGCTATGGATTATATGAGCTGGAGGGAAGAGAGGAAAGACCAACCGTCGCCTCACGCCTCTCGAGGCGTTGGCACCACTGCATGGGTATAGTCTTACTAGCTCTGTCTCAGCGTCCTGTGAATTGTGATCTGCCTAGTGCCTGCACGGGCCGCGATCCGACTCAGGCGTCCCGAGGACCCCGGAGGACCCCGGACCGCGCCGGGTCATCAGGTGCGCTG